TTATTCTGCTTCGTGATCCCTTTTGCGTGATACATGGAAAGACTACGTGTCGTGACATTACGTGACTGTACCGCTGCGTGATTTTCTGTTCATGCTAGATACATGTGCCAGATATGATGGAAAGGTCACGAGGGATCCTACCCTGGTTTCCAAAGGGGATTAGTCGAGTTGCGAAGCGACGAGGGTCGAGGAGAAAACAACAAAGGAGAAAAGGGAACAACAAGGGAACTCTGGCACCCAGGGTAGAGGGATCTTTAATTGATCTGTAATTGATGATATCGGTTATACGTGCGAAATCAAAAGTTCATTTTGTGCTTGCTCACAATCTCTTCGCAAGTGCTTGCTCACAGTCCAGTCACGGTCAAGGTACGGAACGACAATTCCACACTGTCACAGTCTTATAAAATGAAGCATTGGATAACTGTATTTATTGCAAATTTAGGATCGATATCAGTGCGAGAAAGCCGTGAATAAAAACCATATCAGCGAAGTGATACGATATCACTTCACCATAAACTGGAAACTGTTCGTTTTATTCTTGTATCGATCCTAAATGTGTGATAAACGAATATGGAAAAGTCGTTTTTGATAATCTCTACTTATCAAATTTCTTTAACCTAGGATATACTGCTAGTTTCGATAACTCGTTCGCTGCTACGACCACRAGTATTGGTATGGTTGGCTTTGCATTCTACAATGGTTTATGGGCCTACGATGGATGGTAAGAYAGCCCTCAGTTTAGATGGATATATGTGTGGTACATATTTTGCTAATACAATTGTTTATATTATAGGAATAATCTGAACTATGTGACCGAGGAGATGAAAAATCCCTACAGSTATGGATCTAGTGTTATATTCAATCAGTTGATATTGAGATATTTGCATGGAAAGGACCAMCTCGGCTTGCAATCTCACTGCGCCACGTAAAATGCGAAAATTTTCCATTTAGGTTTGAATGTCTTGTTTTAGGGATCTTCCACGATCAATTTTGATTGGGATTCCTCTGGTGACCATTTGCTACGTTCTTGTTAATATCTCATACTTGACTGTATTAACACCAGACGAGGTGAAGACATCGGGAGCTGTAGCTGTGGTGAGTAATAAGGGTATCCATCATCATTATCATACCATCATCATTATCGTCATCATCATCATCATCACCATTATCATCATCATACCATCATCATCATCGTCATCATTTGATCATCATCATCATTACCGTCACCATCTCCATTATCATCATCATTATCATACCATCATCATCAAATTTATTATCGTCATCATCATCATCGTCATCATCTGATCAGTATCATCACCGTCATCATCAGCATCATCATCATCATCGCAACTATTATTACTATCATTATCAATACTATCATTATCAAAACTATCATCATCACCGTCACCATCATACCATCTCATCAACAGCACATCATCGTCACCACCATTATTACCAGATTTGACGTATTTATGTGTTATATATCCTCATAGACCCTAGCAGATAGGATGTATGGTGTAATGGCTTGGACCATGCCTATATTTGTTGCCTGCTCTACGTTTGGTGCTGCTAATGGATCCGCTTTCTCTGGAGGAAGGTACGTAGCTTGCTATTTGTAAGACATTTTTATAACCATTTGCTAGACCGCAAGGTGTGCTTCACCAGTATCAGACGATAGAGTATGAACCTTCCAGCGATAGATCCACCTAAAACAAGGAGTAAAATTAGTAGAGGAATCTGTCTGGATATCAGAAGATTCTCTTTCTCTAAAGGAGGATAGATCGTTAGGACCTCTCTGGGTATCAGACGAAGGGCCATGCCAGAACGTTAGGGGGACTACTGTGGGTATCGGGAGGTTCTATCTCTGTCTCTTGAGGAAGGGCCCTGCCGGACCGAAAGGGGGACTTCTCTGGATATTGGGAGATTCTCTTTCTCTTGAGGAAGGGCCCTGCCGGAACGTTGGCGAAGGCTCGCTATATATTAGAGGGCCACGCCTCTATGCGCCCCATTCAACATTTTGATTTTGAATCCTTCGTAGGTTGGTATATGTTGCAGCACGTGAAGGGCATCTGCCAGAGTTTCTAGCCATGGTTCACACCAAGCGTCACACTCCTCTCCCCGCCATGCTGTTCAATGTAAGTTATTTTGTATAATTTAAGCACAGGGAACCCAATTTAGATAAAAGTGCACTGATATGTACTTCCTGTGTTTTCAGAGTATYATTGCCTGGATTATGTTGATTCCAGACTCAAGTAGTTTCGAAACCCTCATCAACTATTTTAGCTTCGCTGCTTGGGTCTTCTACGGTTCTACGATTGCTGCGTTGTTATGGCTACGATACAAGAAACCAGGCTTAGAGCGCCCTTACAAGGTTTGATTTCCACCTCATACCAGTTTCTTTCTTCTGCATTTACCATAGGAATACCAGCGTATATTGACGGTCCTTTTTCTAACTCACGTTTCAGGTTCCTCTTGTCGTTCCCATTGTCGTTCTTCTAGCATCTTTATACCTCGTCGTCGCGCCATTTTACGAGGCTCCGCTGGAATCATTTTACTGTCTGTTGTTTATCCTGTCGGGAATTCCTTTTTACCTTGCTTTTGTTTACTTCAAATGTGTTCCTAAATGGTTTTTGAAYGGCGTCGGTGAGTAGTCTGCTTCAAAGTTACTTGTATTTTGTCGTTTKAGCTTTTTATTTTTCGAGAAGTATGCATTTATTAAAATTAGCGGGAAAATACGATGTACATGTGCGACGCGCCTGGAGGAAAGGCCGGAAAGTATGCCTTTACTAAAACTGGCGGGAAACTGATGTGCACACGCGCAGCACCATGGGGAAAAGGGCGGGAATTTGTACAGGTAGTGAATTAGCCTGTGCTCCTATAAAACCTACTTTATCGTATAAGCCTATACATTTGGTGCAAATTATRTATGATATGTATATTTTGTTCACAGCCGCAGTGACGTACAAACTTCAATTACTGTGCGACGTCTCTCTACCAGAGAGTGAAGAAGAGGTAATTTCTACTTAAGACCCTCACGGAATTCYTCATCGAAAGTTGTTTCGAATTTTTTTTAGAAATCAATAGATTTGAATGTCATGGCTCTATGTTAAATATTTTAGCTAATTAAGCGAGTATTTGRGAATCAAAACAGMCCACGTCAAGAGACCATAATGAGTCCTTCATGCTCTCTTGACTTCCTTCAACATCTTACAGGGCTTCTCAATTCTTAAGGTGCATGTGACGTTATAGCCGCCATTTTTGTTGACTGACAAATGATTTGATCTTGGTGTCTTTTGTCATGTCAACAAAGATGGCGTCTTTTGTCCTTTTACTTTCATAGGAAGGGATGCACATCACCAATAGCACGCGCGGAATCGTACAATTTCGGACTAGACAAAGTAGGGTATTAGAAGACGTAAATTAAAGCGTTTTCATGACATTGTCGGAAAACACAAAATTTACAAGGACATATGCCTATGGAATGTCATGGAAACGCCTTGATTGACGTACACCAAAGCTGACTTCCTTGCGAAGAGGATTCCGCGTTTGCCATTGAGAAGCACTGTAAAATTGACGTATCGAAAAGTGCGTGGCTTGTATTGAAGGAACTGGTGGTAGATAAACGATTATATCGSAATGTATTTTGGGTGTTAGTCAGGATATGTATGCATTAAGACAGAGCCAATAGATTCAGACTACATAATCGGTAAGCAAGATACGAAGGAAGCCGAACGTAGTCCGAAGTGAGTTCTAGGTCATTTGTGGTTTCTAAGTCAAGCTTAGTGATTGAATTGGTTCGAGTAATTTAAATAGAATTTGATTGGTTCAGAAGCCGTGCTTTAAATAGAATTTGATTGGTTCAGAAGCCGTGCTTTAAATAGAATTTGATTGGTTCAGAAGCCGTGCTGGTCGATATAACAAAAGAGAATAGTAAGAAAATTTTTGATAAATTCAATCAAGATGGCGGCCATATGATTACGGGGAATAATAAGCATAACAGCATCATATAACGCACGTGTTCAGAATTTGACCACGTGTTCAAACGTTAAAAAAAGATAAGTAAAAAAAATTATTGACCACAGCTTAGTTAAAGATCTTGATAAGCTGGATATAATTACGAAGTATTTATTGTATTAAGGTATTACCAGGCTGCGCGCAAATACTAATTTGATGCAATTCCAACTGACGCGTTCTTTTCTCATGTTGGATGATAACTAAGGATCTCCCCATTTTCTTGATGGGCTATTAAATATAGTGGGGTTCGTGTCAGCCATGTTGGATGATAACTAAGGAACTCCCCATTTTCTTGATGGGCTATTGAATATAGTAGGGTTCATATCAGACATGTTGGATGATAACTAAGGAACTCCCCATTTTCTTGATGGGCTATTGAATATAGTAGGGTTCATATCAGCCATGTTGCAGGGCAGGAACAATGTAAAGTTTTTTTCGTGAAAAGAGATTTCATTTTCCAAAGTCCGAAAATTGACGCTGTTTTGTCCCAGAACATGGCTACATTGAAACCATTATATTCAAGTTCTAAAATGCCTTTCAGTATGGCTGGAAATGCATCTCGTCACTCCCTAAAGTTTATTTGCGTGACAATATATACATATATTTTTATTCCTGTTTTATTTATCAACGATGGTAAAATTTGCATTGCATTGCAGTTGCATAATATCTTGTTTGATATACACCTATTTTCAAAAGGTTGTCAGAAGTAAACGACAATGGACGAGAAACAAACCAATGCATCATGGATTTCGAAATTTTAGTAATTTTAGGCCAAAAWTTTTAAATCCTTCCTGTGCAGGAGTGTATCACGTCAAGTATTTCCATAAATGTCACTCCCCAA